GGGGGAGAAAAAAAATTTTCCCGTCGTTCCATACCGAAATTACACGTTTTTGACCCAATTTTTTTAAAAAACTTGGAAATTTCCAAACAAAAAGGACACCTTTGATGTTAATTTATTATTTACAGCGACATTAGCTTGTACAAAAAGGGCACTTTTCATCACAAAAAGGGCACTTTTAGTCCTCTGAAAAAATTTGGGGGGCTCGTGCCTCCCGTGCCCCCTGGTTCCTACGCCCCTGTTCTTGCCTAGATCAAAATTTAGTTTATAGCTGGAATCATCTATTGAGAAAACAAAGGCTCGAAAAACACTAAAAAACAACAAAAGTGGCGAGTTTTGAAAGAATATATAAAAGAGAAGAGAATGCCATGCCAGAGCTATGCAAAATGGGCTTGAGTTGGCATCTCTGAGTTGGCATATTGCCATGCAACCTCGTTACGAGGTTGATTGCCATTACATGGTGCAGAGGCAGAGGCCATGGTGTAATTGTGTACTGGAGCTTTTCCCGCGAAGTTGCTGCTTTTCTATTGGTTTGTATTTTAAACCAATCAAGTTATGTATTCTTGAATTTTAACCAATCAACTCGTTGTAAAATCATGCGCATTATGTGACTCGTTATTGTCTAGCGCTTTACCTCGAGCACACTTGACTTGAGTACAGAGTACATGTGACAGGCAAGTTTTAATTTGGGAAAGGAGAAAATACGAGTGTAATAATGATAAAATATTATCGTTTTCCTGGCCTATCAGCATGTTCACATCAAGAGAGTTTATCAAAGTTGCAAAAGGTCTCGGCACGTGTGTCATGGCTAGCTACAGAGACATGTTTCTACATTGAACTCAACCAAGGATATCAGTTGTTAATTCAAGACGAGAAAAAACTCTTGTGGATTTTAACTCTTCCTTTTGACGAGAAAAACATATCGAAGAACTCTTTTCTTGATGATAAATTAGCGCAAGAACCTGGACGTCAATATGTTGCTTTGGAAATTGGACCAAGATTAAATTTCTCCACAGCTTGGTCCACCAATGCAGTGTCAATTTGTCATTCTGTTGGTTTGGTTCAAGTCAAACGTATTGAAGAATCCTTGAGATATTTAGTAGGAATTGATGATGGTGATGATACTACTGCACCTATTGATTATAATGCAGAGCTTAGCGAGTCGCTAGCCAGTGTTTTATATGATAAAATGACACAGTGTACTTACAAACAGCCTTTAGAAGGTTTTGATGTTGATATTAAACCTGACCAATGGTTTGAAGTCGATGTTCTTTCCAAAGGAAGGTCGGCACTTGAAAAAGTCAACAGAGACTTGGGATTGGCATTTGATGACTGGGACTTGGATTACTACACTAAATTATTTTCGGATTATCTGAACAGAAACCCAACAAGTGTGGAATGTTTTGATTTGGCTCAATCAAACAGTGAACATTCAAGACATTGGTTCTTCAGAGGAAAGATGGTCATTGATGGCGAGGAAATTCAAGAATCACTCATGGATATGGTTAAGAAAACTAATAAACTTTCAAACAACAACAGTGTAATACGACTGGCTGATAACAGTAGGTAAGCCTGGTTTCCATATGGTCGTAACAGTCTTTCTCAACAGCCAACTCAACAACCGACTCTTTCGTAAGAGTCACAATCTTTCTCAACAGCCAACATACAAAAGTTTAGAACTGAAAATAGGCAGAGTGATTATAAATCGATAATACTTGATTATATCTGGTTTACAGGTAGAAACAGTTATAATCTGGTCGTTGAGAAAAATTGTGACTCTATCTTTATGACTGTTTAAAGGCGGTTTTCCACTAGGCGAAATTTTTCGACCGAATCGAAATTTTTCTTTGTTTCATGAACTCTCAAGCAGAACTAATTGTAAAAAGACAAAGAGAAATTTCGTTTCGGTCGAAAAATTCCGCCTCGTGGAATCAGGCCTTTATACGACCATATGGTCCCATCTGCATTCCATGTAGGCCACGCCTAAGATCTCCAGCATGAGTCATGATTCACTTCAAGATTGCTGTTCAATACCAAAAATATGGTCAGAACTTTTCCTGGTGTTATGGTGTATAGTTGCCTAGCCACCGGCCTCTAAGTAGTTTATATGCCAGCAGTTTCTTGATCTTTGTGTCATTAAATTGTCAGGCTATCAGTTATTATATATGTCTAAAAAGTTTATATTTTTAAACTAATGCTAATTCAGGTGAGAATTACAAAATATAAATAAAGCCAAGACTAAGGCCCATCCACACATACACATTCTGGGATTCTGCGGGCAAAAATAGCAAATTCTGCAAAAATTTTTAGGTCAATTCTGTGGCCAAGATGGCAAATTCTGAGGCCAAAATGAGAAATTCTGCAGACAAAACAGTGGCGGAAACTTTGCAAAATATTGGAAGTGCCAAAGGCACAAGATTTCTAGGGGGTATGGAGGAATGCTCCCTCAGAAAATTTTTAAATGGATCCCTGAAATGGCATTTACAGCATTCTGAGAGCACATTTTGTAAGAAATTTCAGGTTTTCAAAATATTAATTTAATGGTGTATTTTGTTATAAATCATATGCTAAGCATAAAAAAATGGCATTTCAGAGAAAAGATTCTAGATGAGGCATAAAAAAAACTTTTCCGGTTTCATATCGTGAAAAAATTAGGGTCGGTAGGTCAGAAATAAATTATTTTTTAAAATATTTTTTTCATGGTTTTGGCGTTTTTTTGCTGGGCGATTTGCAGTATAGTCCCGACATCAATATTAACTAGAGATGCGTATTTCCTATGGACGAATTTAGGCAATTTGGTTCAATAATTAGTGTGACAACAGATGCCATTTTGGCACGCTGTATGAGCAGCCCGAAACCACCTGGAGAAAATCAGTCAATTGCGTTGAAAAAGTAATAGGGTCGGCAGAAAAATAGGGTCGGTCGGGAACCGGAACCACAGGTATTTTTTTTTACGCCTGATTAATACATTTGTGAATGGGATTGCAAGGTGGTTTTATTAAATCTTTCTCGACAAATCCCGCGCATCGTCAGCTTCTAGAAGCTGACGACTTTGTGTGTTCATATCTTCAGTTCAGTGCAAGCTATGAAGACAATAATACCACCATTCGCTTCAGTGAAACAATATCAACTAATTCCTCATGATAGTTTGTCATTGCCAACATTGTAGCAATTTATGGCCTTTGAAAGTCAAGGGAGACATCCTTATTGGCCAGGTATAGCGTGTGGCCCGCATGTTACATTTTTCAAAATGAAAGCTAGCAAAAATTATTGAGGCAATCGCCCCCCTGCCACACCCCCCCCCCTAGTTTCCGCCACTGAGACGAAATTAGATGTGTCTAGGCAAAATATCACTATCTACCGCTATAAACAGTAATTGTAGGGTCATTTCAATTTAGATAGTAAGAAATATATTAGAAAGTCAAATAAAAGTTCTCAGTCGGTGTCACAAGGAATCTGACATATTTAATATACAGTGAGTCCCAGGGGTGGAAAAAGTATTGGACCACAGGACCATTGGTGCCAAAGCATGTTATTAAAGACAAGCAAGAAACGAGCTTCAAAACAATAGTTTAGGGAGAAGAAATCGACTGAAATCTTGCCGAATTATGGTTATTTCAATACGTGCTGATCGCGATAATGGACGTCAGAGTTTGTGGTTTTTAATATTCTTTCAAAAATTCAAACGGGTAAAGGACAAGTCAAAATAAAGTATGGTTTTATCTCGTCAACATATTTGAAGAGTTCAGGACTTCTATACCCACTGAAACAAATTTTGTTTGTCGAGCAGTTTATCGTATATAACTGCATACTATTTTGCGCTTCTTGTATAGTAAATTATAGTGAAGCGTCGACGATTTACAGATTTTTTCAAGGACAACCGCAAATATCAAATAAGTTTTCACAAATATCAAATAATTTTTGATTTGTAATGTTCCTGAACATTTGTTTAACTAAGGGTTAATTTCGCATTTCAAGAATGTCCACTCCTTTTATGGTTTACTTCAACAATAACATTTTCGCAGTTTGCATAATAATATTATAGGTAAATTTTATAAAAGAGATTAGGCAACAGGAGTATTGCGAAATCGCGTGTCGCGTATTTCTGGCCATGTTTTGAGCTCCCAGAAAATATTTCCCTAAGAACAAAAAAGATTATTGCAAAAATTTAGATACTGTAAAAGGAGAAATTCAGTGTGGGGAAAATTCTAACCAATAGAAAGAATGTTACCTGTACTGTAGGTATGACATCATTAACCTGACTTTCAAAATTTTCTGGGGGAGCATGGATCCCCTGATATAGTGCTGACTAGTAGTGCCCTTTTTTGGCATCTGTTAGGATCAGACCCTTGATTAGTTTACTTTTATGTTATATTCCTAAAAGTATTATTACGATTCTCAGTGCACTGAGATAAAATTTCTCTGTTAAAATATTGCATGACATTCAGTTTGACAATTTATCAGTGTTACACAGTTACAGTCGGTGTCCAAGTGTCTATTTACTTGATTATTAATTTGCAGAACATTTCCAATGTTCTCTTGCGGTTGTAGAAAGTAAAATATTTTGAGTCGCAACATAAAACAAAACAGCAGACCGTACGTCATCGACGTGAAAACTGTAATTACTCGTTTGAGTGCCGTCCCCATCGACGTTGACGTGGATAAGCGTGCGGCTCTTAATCGAAGTACTGTGTGACAGTAAGTTCGAGAAGCCGAAATAGAAACAATCACTGTGCGTGGGTTTTTGCTAACATTTTGCCACTGCCAATGTTTTTAAATTGTATTTATCCACGGTCATGGAAGACTGAATTGTCATCAAAAATTATCAAACTTTTTTCATGAACCAAACTCCAAAGGTACAGATCGTAAGTGACATTGTGTGAACCGGAAGTGCAGTTGCAGGAATATTACTAGAAGTTCAAAGATTAAAATGCTAATAAATGTTAGTGGCTAGTGAAATGGTGAATATCAATGAAAGTTCCACTTTGAAGGAAATCTCCGTTCGTAACGTAAATTTTACAAAAACATTTTGTATTAGATCACACAAATGTATCTTCTTGTGAATTTAAGGGGAAAATAAAAAGAAATTACTTTACCAAAGTTTAAATTCCGCGATTTAAACTGAATTCCTCCACGGAATTCCGCGATATTTGGGCGGAATTCCAAAATGCCTGCACGTATGTGGATATTTTTGAAAACGGAGGTTTTTTCTCCGTTTTGGCCTTGCGTCCACACGTAAACGGCATTTTCGGCAACCGAAAACAGAGGTTTTCGAAAACACTCCAGAGTGGATCCTTTTGAAAACGCCGTTTACGTGTGGACGGACGAAAACAGAGGTTTTCGAAAACGACAATGTTGATGATCGTGTCCAGTATATAGCGGCACACGTTTTGTATCTGTTTTCGTGATGGCTGACCAAAACTGTATGGTTATTTTACTTGGGCTGATTTCAAGTCTAATAGCATTCAGCTGCATGTTACTATAGGCCGTTGGCCAAAATTATTTCGCCTGGGGAATAGATTTTCTGTGGTTCAATGCATAGTACCATAGATGCTCAATTACCACAAAAAGTTCCCAAGCAAAAAACTTGCCAAACACCGAGAAAATGGGTGATCAGTGATTATCCTCTATTACATTGTATTACAGCAAGAAAATGTGAAATTTTGTATTCAATTACAACAAAAATGATTTGCATCAACAGAAAGCTCAGATGAAACCGCATATAAGACTTTTAAACAGTTTTTTGATGCTTCAAATAGTCTTTGAGTTATTGCTGTTTTAAATGTGAAAATTGGACCAAAAATTCGCAATAAGGACTGGGTACTAGGTCAAAAACGCGTTTTTGACAGCGTATAACTCGAAAACAATTTGAGATATAAAAAAAACTGCTTATTTGACTTATATGTAGATTTTTGTAAGCTTTCTGGTGATGCAAGTCATTTTTGTTGTAATTGAATACAAAATTTCACATTTTCTTGCTGTAATACAATTTAATAGAGGATAATCACTGATCACCCATTTTCTCGGTGTTTGGCAAGTTTTCTCCTTGGGAACTTTTTGTGGTGATTGAGCATCTATGGTACTATGCATTGAACTACAGAAAATCTATTCTCCAAGGGGTTGCCACGAAATTGCTTTTCTAAGCACTTTTTCGCACAACGGCCTACTATGTTAAACCTTCACGGAGACTCTTGCCTTTGCATTTCTTGAGATACCTCAGGCTCAGGGTATCTCTTCTCTCACTCTCGAAGCTTGTACTTGATGCAGGACTTGAGCTTCTTGATTCTACTTCTTCTGTAATGTCGGTAGACTCTATTCCAGCATGTATAGTTGATGTAGCAGGAGATCCTCCCCATATAGGGATATGATTTTATCAAAAACTAAGTGCATATTCGCTGGACTAGCAGTAATTATTGTTAAAAATTTATTTTAACATCATGGTAATCTTACAGCATAGCTGCTAAAAAGGTACATTTAGAATTGCTGTAAGCTGAGAGCTGACTAATCCTTTGCCATTGGCATTGGACTATATGATCGCCTTCTTCAGTTCACTTTTTACTGTGCCTGTGGCAAGGTGTTCCAAAGATCTTACCAAAATTGGCGAGGTATTATACTGTAAAACATAGCCTGGCCTAGCAATTATTCATAATTTTATTCAACCTCTCATTCAAACAGTGCAATAAAAGGCTTCAAAGTTCCTGTCATACTTCCAGTTGAGACGTCTGAAGCAAGTCGCATTGAAGTTGAAGAATGCACCAGGCATATTATATTTACTGCTGAAACTCACAACTTTCCTACAGGTATGTTATTTCAATTAGATG